AATGTTCAGTGGATCAGTTAGGATCACCTCCACATGTTGATCAATGTTCAGTGGATCAGTTAGGATCAACTCCACATGTTGATCAATGTTCAGTGGATCAGTTAGGATCACCTCCACATGTTGATCAATGTTCAGTGGATCAGTTAGGATTACCTTCACATGTTGATCAATGTTCAGTGGATCAGTTAGGATCACCTCCACATGTTGATCAATGTTCAGTTAGGATCACCTCCACATGTTAATCAATGTTCATTGGATCAGTTAGGATCACCTCCACATGTTGATCAATGTTCAGTTAGGATCACCTCCACATGTTAATCAATGTTCATTGGATCAGTTAGGATCACCTCCACATGTTGATCAATGTTCAGTGATGTGTCCTATAAGATCTGCAAAGAATAAAGATCGTCAGTGTTAATATCCCCAGTAAACATCGTTCATTCAACTAATATACAATGTTGTTAATGTAAACAGTTGTTAAATTTCGAACAAAACATTATAAGTCGCTCTTATTAAAACTCTTTAAACAAGTCCTATTAATTTAAACATAAACTGGATGTTAAAAATGTGTTTCTTTTCTTTAAAATTGAAAGTCTCTAAAGTAATAGCTTCGTGAAATTTATAATAATAAACAAATTCAAAAAGACACACACACTCCCGAAAATCACCCCTGAAACGCGACACCGCAGTCGCTAGTTGAACAAAATAGTTATTTGTCGTGTTGCCTTCTTCCCTGTTTCTCATCGTAGAAACTGAATCTCAAAATCTTATGTTGTACGGTATTTAAATCTGTACTTAATATACTCGCTCTTCGGCTCGCGTACCAATAATCAAAGAAACCATGTTAGGCTAAAATACAACAGTGATAATACTGGCTCTGAATCACCCGGATGTTAAACATTCGTCCTCGTTTTTAGTATGACAATGAGACTGCTTTAAATAACAGTTTGTTTATATTATATGTATATTGTTCTTTTCATGCTCGTCAGGTTTTCGATGTTCTGAAAGTGGAGCAATACAACTTGATGTGTTTTATTACGAACTACCGTAGTCTAGTGACCTTTTAAAATCAGACAGTTACGAAGCTTCTTGGCGTCATAGAAAGTTATTTGATTATAAGCTAATGCAGCGGAGCGTCGCCCTAGAGGCGAGCCGTGGTGCAACAGACGACATTTTTCATGTCGATTTCTGATCATTTGACGGTGCAATACCACCAAGGGTAGACGTTTGGCTAGAGAAGTGCTTTTAACCTTTCAAATAAAGAATATTTGTATAAGAAGTTTACTGAAGAATATGTAGCCCAAAGAAAACAACATTTCGAAATATGGAAGCAGAAAAACTCAAAAACAGAGCTTTTAGGACACCAGATGGCTCTAAAACACACCTCGTCCTAATCTAGACAAACACCAAAGTGGCTAAAAAAAAGAAAACCTTATGACCCAATAAAGCAATTCCAATGCAGTTGGCACGCTAACAAGATAATAATAAACAGAGACTTGAAGTGTATGAAAGGTCACAAAAGTTCAGAAACTTTCAGCCACATCAGTAGATGTTTTCATAAAAAAGATAGTCAAGAAAACTGGAATCAAACATAAAAATTGTCAGCTTCTCTAATGCAGCTCTTGTGGACTTTTATGTCTTTGGTTTGTTCAAAGGAAGCCGACATCTTAGATCAATAGAAAGTTTGTTAAGATTTTTCGTACAAGGTTGATTTCAATTGTCTCTCGCGAAAGCTTGATACAATCAAAAGTACGAAAATATTTGAGCACAATCAAGGGACCTAAAACAACGACCTTAGAAAGTTCGATTAACCTCAATATTCGTTTTAGATAAGATACAGGCTTAACCCTTAAATTACTGACCCATTTTTGTATCGTTACGTACAGGTGGAGTCCATATATTGTAGCACACAGATCAGTTATACATTTTTACCTCTGTAACGAGCTGACCAAAACGTTGGCTGAAATAATTAATTTTCCATGTGAAATACATAGAACAATCCAGCAGTAGCTAGTAGAATTAATTGCAACATTTAAAGTGTTTCTGTTTTTATTACAGTTGCATCATAATGAACTGTAATGAAAACTATCAAAACACGAGATGTTGATTATAATGAAAAAAAGTTGAATAATTTAATAGTCCCACTACAAAGAAACACGTGCTTAAACTGTGTATTCACACTGAAATTATTTCTGTCGTACACGTGGCCAAGAAATACCTATATAAACTGAGTAAGTTTTGTTTTAATATCTTCTAAATTTATAATCCTAATAAAACTAACTATCGAGAGTATCCTGACAGAACTTACTGGGGCTAAGCCTCACCATAATGGTATATTGCACAACAGAGCAGGTATCGAACTTTGATCACCAAATATTCTCTGTGGATGAGGTGTGATTCTTAGAGCAGCTGTGAAACAGTGCTTGTAAGAATGTGTGGCTCGTGTCAGTCCAAGAACACGAGTTTAAACACAGCAGATAGGAAAATACACTGAAGAGGTGTTATGATATAGGAATGAAGGTTGGGTGTGGCTTTGATATGTGCCGATGGTGGCAACGAAGCAATTGGACTCTGGTTGGATAGGTCCTTTACTCGTCCTTCATGAATTGCTGACTGATTCTCGTATGAGACCTGGCCAAGACTACCAGTTGACATGCCCTGAAGTCTTCCAATCTGCTTCCAGCAACTTCAAAGTTGCAACTGTCATGTGCTCTCTCTCGTGGGAAAGATTTCTGTAAAGTAAGTCATATTAAGTGAAAATAGATAGCGATGTATTCCCAGTATGTCAGATGATACTGTAAAGATATAATCTCCATTATTTGTTTTATGGAAATGACCGATAGTGACCTAGGTAGTATATATACATCCTGGAAAAGAATGGCATTATTGTCTCGCTTATATAATGTTATGTTTTTCATGGACAACTCTTGTGGTATTCAGATCCACTGATATCCAACAAAAAAGCAAAAGTTTCCATAAAATGCAGGTTCGATACTGTCAAATGAAAAAATAATTTGGATACGGGTAGTAAAGGAAATCAAAGAGACAGAAGTATAACTTATAACACGAATTTTGTTATTTAAACTGATGAAGCATCTTCTCCTGTCTTGCCTGGCTGTTGAGGTTGACACGATGGGAGTCTAGAAGAATCCAAAAATCAAGAGAGAGAACTATGGAAATAATTGACTTAAATACTCTGACGAAACAACTAAAATCATATATCTTACAAGTCTGCTGGTTACATACTACAACCAATAATCTACCTGCAAAATTAAGCTAAGCCAGATATACGGATTTCTCTATTTTACTGGTTTGGAAAGGCTACTTTCTAAGAAATTGCTCCAGAAACACAGACATACTGACTTGAGGTAAAAATATTACAGCACACAGCCTTTACCCATGAAAAAGGATTAACACACGTTTACAACCTTAATACATCTGGTCATCACAATGTGATTAAATAAATACAGAAATTGCATAAGTTTAGAAAAATATTACTTGAGTATACCTGAATAAATATATGTGACACACTAGTTATGAAGTGGCGAAATTCGTAGCTTTTTCAGTCATTACACCCTTAAAACCAACCTCCAGTAAAGGTGCTGTGAATGTATTGTAAAGGTGCTGTGAATGTATAGTAAAGGTGCTGTGAATGTATAGTAAAGGTGCTGTGAATGTATTGTAAAGGTGCTGTGAATGTATAGTAAAGGTGCTGTGAATATATTGTAAAGGTGCTGTGAATGTATAGTAAAGGTGCTGTAAATACATTCGTTTTTGTATTTTGATGGTGTTTAACAAAGATTGTTTCGATCCTCTTTCTTTACTCAACTCACTCAAAAGCCAGATAGTTCAGATTTAATCCCACAAACATTTCTTGTCGAATCTTCGGCTATTTCGTGGATCCTATTCCATTATTCTAAGGAAGAGCCGAGGGCAGCCTAATGGATTGTGGATCTGAGGTTTCGCGTCATTCCGCTACCCTTACCTAAATCGTACTCCTTACTTTTGGGCCGTGGATGCGTTATAAGAGTGAAGGTAAAACTCCACTATTTGTTCTAACAAGATAACTAGAATAGCCCAAGAGTTGGCGGTAGGTGGTGTTATCTAGCTGTCTTCTCCCCCAGTCTACTACTTTAAAATTAGGGACAAATACGGGCAGATGTTCTCGTGTAGCTTTGCGCTAACTCTAACCAACAGTTAAATTCTAAAGGAAATCAGTGCACCTGAGAATACCACAATTATTTCCGTTCTTAGCCGCGACATAGCAGCTCATAGAATGGCTAAGTTTTTTTACAAGTACAAACTTTTAGCTCATAGCGCCGTCTCTTGGCCGATTCGAGATCTAATTACAGCCACGGCTATTGAGGATTCATCTTTGATATTATATTTAAATAAGCGCTACTGGTTTTAGTTGAAGAGAATAGAAAATAACTATCCAAGTATCAAAATCTTTTTTAATCCTGAATATTGCAATATCGAAATACGATTTGCTAGTACTGTTAATTCAATGGATAATTTTATTCGTAATCAGTCTAGTTTTTTATAATTTATTGGTTATATCTTCACACAACCGTTACTTAAAGATGACGCTTTAGACAGACTCTCGTATTTGTGTAGTGTTTTCAAGATGGCGGATACTTCTTATGCGAGGACTGGAATATTAGAAGTTTATGTCCGTGAGCAATGGCATAGGGTTTTAGTTACACTTGACGAAGACTGCCTTAGTATTAGTCTAGATGAAAGCTATGATGCCACTACTAATGGTCAATCCAATGGGTTATCGGTGATGTCAGATTCCGAACTGCCGGATATATCGGAAAGTATTGCCAATCAAAACAGACTGGTTCGTGTAGTTAAACACGATAATAACGGACTTGGTATCAGTATTAAAGGTGGAAAGGAAAACAAGATGCCAATTTTGATAAGTAAAATATTTAAAGGAATGGCAGCAGATCAGACTGAACAATTATATGTAGGAGACGCTATTCTTTCAGTAAATAAAGAAGACTTAAAAGACGCAACTCACGATGAGGCTGTTCGAGCGTTGAAAAGAGCTGGAAAAATTGTTGACTTAGAAGGTAGGACTAAAGTAATGTGAAAATAATACATCGAGATATACGTAAAATATCAGTAAGGGTTTGGAAACCGGATAGGCCATATGTGTGTAATTACGTTCAATATATTACATGTTCTTTAATGAGGCATTTGTAGTGTCATTTACTTTAGTGAGGCATTTGTAGTGTAGTGACACTTGAAAATTGCATAGCCATAAGTGGCTGTAGTGTTGTTTTATGTTCTCGATTGAAAACGAAACAAATAAAAAAGCCATAGAATATATTTAGCACTAAACCCTTATAATCAAAAGATTTCTGTTGCTAAACAAATTTGTAAAGGTTTCTTCTGAAAGTGAAAATATAACAGTTAACTTATTCAACAGGTATACCCAGATTTTGATTGGTAGAACCCGTTAACCGTTTCTTATCACTTACATTTGTGGTATCTACAGACACTTAATGAGACTACGGGATTGTACTTTTTAGATCAAATTAAATTTGGGATCCCGAGCACAAGCACATTGTAACTCGTAAATAATCAAAAATGTTTAATTACAATTTAGAAATACTGTACAATAAAACTTGGTGAGAGAGAGGTGCCAAAAAAAACAACAAAAACAATCTAATAATTATAAGCAGTTTTAGTAGCACTGTTACTGTTACACAATTGCTGTTCTACGTTTTAATGTGACTTGTTGTAAGATGTTAAGTTTTAACATCAGGGTTAAAAGGAACCATTTGGTCTTCAAGGCTGTTCCTTTATACCCAACCCCCGAGAAAAAACTAAATCCACCTATTATTTTTTTGGAAAGTCAGCTGTTAAAAGTTGTAAGTCTTCAATTCTACCAATAGCAACTGTTTCCATAAGTTAAAACATCTAAACTGGAATCTGGTTTTTTTTTTCCATAATTTATTTTGTTGTCTTCATCAGAATATAGCAGAAAGAAATTAGAGGCCTTTATTCTATTGATTTCCCAGATAATCTTGTAAAGTTCAATAACGTCATCTCTTATCCTTCTTTCTCAGGAGGAAATAAGATCTTAACGTATACCATGAGGTAATCCATCTATTCCAGGAATCCTCTGAAACCTTTCCAGTAAGTGGATATGTTTTCTTGGATAATAAAACTGTACACGGTATTCCAAGTAAGGCCTAACTAGTGATTTGTGTATAGATAATAAAACTGTACACGGTATTCCAAGTTAGGCCTAACTAGTGATTTGTGTATAGATAATAAAACTGTACATGGTATTCCAAGTAAGGCCTAACTAGTAATTTGTGTATAGATAATAAAACTGTACACGGTATTCCAAGTAAGGCCTAACTAGTGATTTGTGTATAGATAATAAAACTGTACACGGTATTCCAAGTAAGACCTAACTAGTGATTTGTGTAGAGATGTAATCAGTGTCTATATAAGTCTTGCTTGTTTTTCTACTAGCGACAAAGCATTGATTCAAAGGCTTGAGCGATTTATCCACCATTGTGCTATCAAACTGATTCCTGTCTGTATTAAGCATGTGATCCAAATTTTGATAACCAGAATGTACTTACTGTAAGTAAAGGTCATTTGGCAACTGTCGGTCCAACTTACCCAGTTATTTTGTAGTATTTGAACATCGTTAGAAATATCCAAAAAATTTGATGTCATCGGTAAACTTTGCTAATTTACCGATGTTACCCCTATGATTGATTAATGAGTAAATGTATATGTGATATCACTGACTCTTGAGACATACCATTAGTAACAGAGGTCCAGTTTGGCTGTAGTCCATCAATAACATTTTACTTCCACATTAAATGGTCTTTCCTAACATCCCATTTCTTAGCTGGTCTTGTCTACTTTGTTATGAAAATCTAAGTACACCAAGTCCACACCTCTTTCATCAGTAACACCCTCATTAAGTGTTTGTTTTTTGTACACAAATATAAATTTTGGCAGGGCAGGAGTAATCTTCAACAGTTTTATTTTTTTTAAAGGGTAGTTGGCCTTTGGAATGGGTTGTCTTCAGATGTCGTAGATGCAGTAAACATCAGGGAAAATAAATATTTGAATTTTAAGAGTTGCACCTTTGAGTTACTTTTTTTTTACAGTCTGGCAGATGGGACAGCCCAGTTGAACCAATAGGTTCCTCATTGTCCTTAAATGTTACGTTAGAAGGGATTTTATGCAATGGGATATTTAACTGACTCTTTTTTTTTCCTGGGTACACTTGCTTTTATTTTATCAAAAATCTGAAAACACAATTTTTAAACAAAAATATAACGTGGATTTTTCTAACGTTTCTTGTAAGTTAAAACTTGAGAAAATGTTGTTAGAATCCTAGAGTTTGATATAAAATTACCAGTTTTTTTATTCAAGTTAAAGTTATTTATTACTATAATTGTTACGAAGAGCAGCTTTTTATGGCTCGTGATTTTCAACTGTCTGTTACTCAACTGAGCTTGTATTTTGATGGGGTTTGATGAATACATAGCGTTGGTGCTACTAGTTACTCAGTAGATAAATTCTTTAATATACTAAAACATTAAATCCAATCTCAATCGATTGTTACCTATTGGGCTTCATATTTATTTAGAGGACATTAATACGCTAAATATATTACATGTGTGTTTAATTGACACTTTTTGTATATGAAATGGTTTAACATCGGAAGGGAAACATGAACTTTGAAGAGTATTGGATGAGGGAAAGATTTCTATACGTCTATGGAAAAGATCACTTCAAGTGGTATCTATTGTGACAATAAGTTGTACTTTTAAGTTTTACAATGTCTAAAACAAGTTTTTTTATCAAGAGCCATTTTTTGTCTCCGTGTGGAACACATTCAAAACTTAGTTGTGAAAGATAAAAAAGATTTCGTAATTCTGATTGGGAAGAGTTTAAATGATGGTTACTATGACGATCCCAAAGATGGAAGGTATAGGTTGAGATCACTTATTTTATTCCAAGGATGGAAGAGATAGGTTGAGATCACTTATTTTATTCCAAGGATGGAAGGTACAGGTTGA